ATAAGCTGTAATAAATCTCTTTCGTGTCTCACCATTTTCAGCCTGGCTGGAACCTTGATGTGAAAGTGAAATGAAAGTGATTTGATGCAGTGTTCAATGCATAGTGCAACGGTATGAAAGTATCTCCATTTAAGTATGGTTTTTGGCAGCATTAATCTTTCTGATTCTTTGGAAGTTAAATTCATAACCAAGATTTGATGGGCGTTCACTTATCTAACTTTTAATTCAGATGTTCCAGATTACAGATATATTTCATCGACTGGGGTTGCTCAGTCATGGAGCGAGGGACTCAGAACCAAGTGGTACCAGGTTTTAGCTGAAGCTCGCTAGCCTTCCGACATTGATAAATGAATGCCTCTCTGTGGGAAGGAAACATGACTGCGTACTATGCTAGACAAATCGCTGTTGTCGATTCTGCCCTTGAGTAGTCACTCCCGACTGATGATTAATTCATCACCGTTAACTTCAAGAAAAGAGGAGGATACCAGAATTGCTCGGCCATGAAAGTGTAAAGAAGACCAACATTCCAATCGTTACAAACTTTTTACTTTGTGACGAAGACGTGGGTAGTACTATGACTTCTGCCAATGACCACTTAATCGCGTCGCATTGCCCTCCGTGCGATCGACTGTTCGTTTAGTGTTATTTAGCAGTCTCGGTAAATATTTATAATATCAGATACGTTTAGCCACTCATTTCTAATAAATTTAGCCAGTCAGTCTCTTTCGATGGCCGCGTGCCCTTTCAGGTCGCGGAAGAAAATATTTAATATATTACAAACGGCGGTTTCGATTTATGAGCTTTTCGAGATAATATTTTAATTAAATTATTCGTCCTTACATCATGAACTCTCCACCTTGAAAGTTTAGAGGTGGCTACAGCACGGTCACATCCAAGCGTGGTAATGCAACTAATGCTTGTAATAGCAGTTATGTTATAAAAGTTTTGGGTCTGGGTGTTAGGGCTTGAAGGGAGTGAGCATCTCTACATCACTGCGTATTCTTTTTCATGTTTTGCAAACAATCGTCACCGTATCGTTTCTTAAGTTCATAGATTTCTTCGCTTCATTTTATATTTCATATCATTTTCAGTGGAATTTTGTCGCATGAAAATATCTTGATTGTTTTGTGCATCATTTTGCAACTGATACGATGCATCGGTATAAACTAGCTTATCTGTGTTGACTTTTAGTCTGTATATGCGGACATGAAATCCGGTGATGCTGAAGTCATTTACTCTGAAGTCAAGGATGAGGCTCCCAACGGTTCCACGTTGGAAGAAAAACGTGGGGAACAGCAGGTAAGATGGCGAGAGGCCGTGTTCAGTTACTAAATGATTATCTGCATGCGTTTTGTTTTTCTCTGCTTCCAGAAATTCGACATCTCTGAAATCGCTATTCTTCAAGCCATACACACGATCGAATATTGTCTCGGTACTGTTTCGCACACCGCTTCGTATCTTCGACTTTGGGCATTGTCGTTAGCTCATGCACGTATGATATTTTGGTTCGGTTATTTTTTTGTTCTACTCTGACATTTAACCAGGGCCAGAAATGCATTCATTGTAGATTCGGTAACGCGTGGGTGTCAGATGTTGCGTTTTGCGTTCACGATATTTGTTTTATGCAGTTTGTTTATGACAGTTATTTAATCAGGTCAGCGGAAATTACGAAATGACACTAAATACTAACTTAATGTTTATCTGACATTGTTTATATATCAGTAGAGTTGTTGATCTCATGAAGGACCTTTCTACTGCCTGGGTAACTGACTGATAGATGGTCCCATTTTCTTTCTGTCAAATGCTGTTTAAGTACTGGATGGTCGAGTACTTGAACGGCAAGGTCATTTGCGGAATTTGCCTGTCGCCTTGCATTAAAACGCACCGTCATTCTGTTGGGCAACTCAGTTGGTGAAGCGTCGCGTTAGTAGTCGAACGTTTGGTTCATGTTCCAGTCATTGCCGAATTACTGGATTGTTGCACTTCGGATATGAGGAATGATGTGAGCTACATTTAGTAACAACTGGTGAATGTCAAGAATTTCGAATTGGACTTTGCTGGATCATTAAAACCCCATCGGCGGTTGCAAAACACTTTGGGAGGACCCGATGGATAACCTACTGAGCATTCGATAAAGGCCAAGACCTTAAACGTCGAAAAGAAGCTATATTACTATCGACTTGCGCTTTGGGACATAATCTCGAAAGTGGGCCAGTTGAAACATATAGAACATATCCTCTAACGTAGTCGAAAGCAAAGGGATACAAATTTTTTTGTTTTTCCATGTATTGAATGCGTTCGTGCTGAGCCTATTGATCATAGTCGTTTTTAAACATTTTGCGTATTTAGTCTGGGTATCTGTGTCGTAAATAGCAGATGTATTGCATACCAGTAAAACGCTAGGAAAAATATTTCCTCCTTAGCTGTAACGATGGCCATAAAAAGTTTTTTACTGCGAACTCCCTAACGAAGATTAAGCCACCAAAGGATGACATCTTAATGCCGTTGAGTGAAATCGTTAAAATTTCATATCGCAAGAGCCTGATCAATGATTCGGCTTAAAACTTTACAAACTACTAGCATCGATGGAAGGAGGCTAGCTAATGCATCCTACCATTTACTCACATCATAGAGAACGATCGGGTGGTTTCATGGTCTGTCGTAAAATTTTCCGGCTAAATCTACGTAAAATCACATTTTTGCAGAACTGTCCGAAGTACTTTGGTCAATGGTCATGACAATAGCTTTTCGAATGGATAGTTACATTGGCGTCGTCGTAGCCTACTTTATATTTTGGGCTTTTGGCTGCCTGACCATCAGTATTCTCGTTCTCATGGAAGGCTTATCTGCTTTCCTTCACGCGCTCCGATTGCATTGGTTTGTTTTCCGCACTTTCGCGCTCCTCTCTTGTACAGTTCTATTCTGTTTGATTCAGGGTCGAGTTCCAAAGTAAGTTCTACGAAGGCGGTGGCTACCCTTTTATGCCGTTCTCCTTTGACCAGCTGCTTGAACAAGCAAGATTAGAAGATGGTGACTAACCCATCATCGTTTAATGTTGTTTACAGTGCGTATTTCGTAATCGTGTTAAGTGTGATTCACGTCATTTGACTGTTGCAGTTCTTTCGTTTCATTATACGTATATTTATATATTTTTATTCATAATATTGCGTTCTGTGAAGTTGATTGTCATTGGAAAGTCTTTCTTGGATTTAATGAGCGCTAATTAATAGTAATATTACGTTAAACAGTAAAACTTAACACACTGTTGCATTTTATGGATGTTTTACTGTTTGAATACATGGAGCAAGGAATGTGACGATAACTACAAAAATGAAAGGGAACTATGTTAAGCAGATACGTACACCATCTATCTGCTAACGAAGAACGACCTCTCGTAATGCGGGCTATTGCAGGAATGCATTAGGTGCGCCTTATTTGCGTTCGACAGCATATGTTCCCTATGTACCATATTTCTGATCTCGTACTGGATGTAAGGATATAAAAGTACTGGTTGCTGACAGTATAATGATGCCAAATCAGTTATGAGAATCATAAGTTACCGCTGAGCAAGGGACGCATAGGTAAAGAAACGACTAAGGCAATTTATTTTATGAAATGGTAGAAACTGAATCTTTCAGTTCTCTTTATCTTCAAAAAATAAGATATATGCTTTCGCGTTTTACCAACAATCAACTTTACAAGGTCAGAACAAAAATCTTCCAATAGATCTAAATCAAGATATTCTGTACACGCGCAGCGAAAGTTATTTGCATACAACAGCCTTGTATTCATGCTCAAGTGGCATATGTGACATTTTTCGACGGTGTGAAACGAGCTTCTAGAAAGCCAAAACAAATTCTGATCAATATTGAATCAAGAAACGTTAGTCTGAACTGTAGAAATTGTCATTTATCTATATATCTGATGTTCACACTATGGTTTAGGGATGCAAATCAATGAAAGTCATACTGTGACTAGCTACCAAGTACTAAATGTGTTATAAAATAATTGATTTTGTTGCTTTTAGGGTATAATTCAGAATAATGAAAACTTAAAACATTTACCCATGACAAATTTCTGTTTTGATTTGATCAGGTTTCATCAGTCAAGTCGACCTGAAAAGTTATAAATCGTTGTTCATAACTCACGTCAAGTTTCTTTTGATTATTAGATTTAAAATTAAAATATTATAATAACAGCACAAAGCGGTACTTAATAAATAGGCTACTGCCTATTACTAATATGCAACAATACTGTTCCTCTGAGGGGCAAGATAAATGAGTGCAATTTCGAAGATCTATCGTCTCTCGAGCTTCGATCTGTCAAGAGTAAAACTTTCATATTGATCTTAAATATTTAGAATGTTCCAACCGGCTTTGCAGTATAGCAGCAATGGTAACATCGGGTCAAGATAAAGGAGGATTTTGGGAAATGT